TCTCGCCCCGGAGCGGGACCGCATCCCGCCGGCTGCGAGGTGATGGGTTTTCGCGGGGGGAAGAAGCGGTGAACGCTCAGCCATTACACAGCAGTAGCCCCCGCGTCCCACAGCCCGGCTGGGAGTATAAATGCTAAAACACGGAAGAAACGATCCAACAAGACACTGGCCGTGCCAGGAGACGGGAGCGACCCCTTATCCCTGGCACACGGGGCTTCGCTGTGAGACACCAGGCTCCTGCCCGTGACACCATCAGTGATCCACCACGTAACGCCCCCGTCTCCACTCCACCACCTGAATTGGCTTCGCTGTGGCCGGCATTGCTAAGCGTTTGCCCTGACAAGTACCCAGGTCGAAAGTTCTGGGGAAATCCAAGAGCCCTAGTTACAGCCTTATAGTTTTAATGACAGGCAATAATTTGGGGGTCTAATTGCACTGCTCAGACATCACTTCTAAGGAGATGGGGCCTTTGTCCGGGGGGGAAGAAAAGTACGGTGAGTGTGCAGCGCTGTGTAAACGCACGTCAGTAACCTTCCTTGTGGCTGAATAACGGGTCCCCCGTCTTCTGTGTTTCAGTACTTGGCATAGGCCATGGGAACAAGCTGCTCACTGATCTGTACAACTGCCACCTGACCAAGGTAGGTGATGGCTCTGAAGGGCCTCGGAACATCTGAGCGCAACCTCACACTCGACTCCTGCCCCGGTGCCCCGGACTGGCCTTGTGGCGGTGATTCGGCTTTTGAGTCTCAAACCCACCAATGCTTCCGAGAGCTTTTCAGGGTCCAGAATTCATCCTTCACGTGAGCGGCCACACGTGGCCGTGTGAGCAGAGGAGGCTGCTGTCTTTTTGTGCAACATCCTCATAGCCTGCACTTCCTAGCAGCTGCACGGCAGAATATTGCTACTCAATTGCTTGGAGTATTTCTTTGATAAATTGCACTCTTTGCCCTTCTTCAAGGTTTACACTGTCGGTGGGCTGTTTGGTAAAGCCACTGATGACTTCTCAGACACAGGGAAGCTGGTAGAGAAGACAACATTTGGTAAGAAACAAAGTTGATGTGTTTTTTAAAAAAACAGACCACCAAACAAATAGCATTTTAACTGCAAAGCATTTAACCTGGTACATTGCACAAAGATAAAAGGTATGCCTTAAATGTTTTCTAGTTTTTATTTGTACATGCAGCCTACGCGCAGTCCTGACATCACAGTCCGGTGCTAAATACAACCACAATATACAGAAGGCCGGTGTGAGTCCTGATCACAGTGGTTGCTACTGGATTGGGTGGGACACAGACCTCTCCAAATCATACCTAGAGATAGCAGTTAGAAGCTTTCCTTGAATGAAACTCTTCAAACACCCGATAAGAGGAACTGGAGCCAACATCCCAAAATCAATTAAGCAGAATGATTCTTCCCTTTGTAGTCCAGCGCTGTGCTGCTCTGTGCATTACCACGGTACAGCCAGGAGAAGTGACTCTGCTAAAGCCACCTCTCGGCGGTTCCCATCGGCCCGTTTCGATGTGACTGCCTGCCAAAGGGACAGTAATACCCTGATGGCACATTTCAGACTGCTGTCTCTTTCCAGTTTCTGGATGGATAATTGAGCCTTTGTTTCTACCTTAATATTTGCAGACCATATCACAAGGGAGAAGCTGGAACGGATTCTTGCTGTCATTCAAGGAACAAATCATAAGGCCCTGCTGATGTACGTATCCGGTGGGGAAATGCAGCTGACCTGATCTGACTGCCATTTGGTGGTCTTTAAAACAAATGAGATGATTCTGTTCGCCATAATCAAAGTCTTTAAAGGTTGGAGTGCTAGACAGGAACAGAGAGAAGTTACTCCGAGTGCTCTGTACTCTGGTGAGAGGTTGCAGTTAAGTGTCCTTCTTGTATCCTGAAAACTCCAGCTACGTTAGGACCTATTAGCTACATTAGGACCTACAAAAATGTCTGTTAGACATGACCAAGTACCTCCCTCCCAAACTGCTACACTACTGACAGTATATATAGCATTAAAATGGATGCAAAGACTCAACACATAGTAAAAATTGCAGCTCTGCTTTATTGGGGGTGGGCATATTTTGAATCCCATTGAAGAGAAGGACTAAGTGTCTGCTCTGCTCCTTTTTTTTCTTTTTGCAGGCATTCTAACATTGATATGAAAACACAAGAGGCATACGAGCTGGCTGTCAAAGGACTGATTCGCCCCATGGGAAAAAGCCCTCCGATAATCACAGCAATCCGATGCCTCCAGTTCGCGCTTCCAGAATTCCAGCTAGGTAGGACTGGTACAAAAACTACTGGGGAAGTCTGAGTATATATTACGGCAAATAAGTCGGTAAACTTCAGTTTCTTATTCGTGATTTAATGCAAAATGAGTTGGTGGGAATTTTGTATCAATTTGTAACTGGTAATCCCGGCAGAAATTGTAATGATTTGTAGTTTCCAAAGTCACAAAAGCATCTCCTTGTTAGATGAATTCTTTAGTGCGGTGGAAAGATTTTTTGGTAGGGCAAGATCCTGAACCCTCACAGCACTCAAGCTGCTATAGTAAATCAAGCCGGCTTGTGCACCTGGCTCACAGGTTTCTCCCTGCCAGTTCCACATCTAAGACTGAGGCAAGAAAATTTGCATCGTGAATACCTATGGGGCAAAATTCTTCCTTATTCCAGTGTTTCAGTGTAATGCAGTTCAGTGTGGTTGGTTTTGTTTTTTTCTTTTAAAGCGTGGTTTGCTTTCCTGCAACCAGTCTCCTACTCCTCACAAATTATTTGTCTCATTAAAAGGGTACCTTTTCTTATCATCCTTTGAAATACCTGAATTTCTACATTACTCCCCTGTATCTATGGGTTTGTTTTCTAAAACATTCACTTTGGGAGGTGCTAGGACACCCTGCAGTATTCCAGAAAATCATAACCCACCTGTGCTGTATCTTAAATAGTCTCTTCTACCAAACCAGTTCTTTCAGCATAACTGTGAGTGATATCTGGATTTACAGACAAGGTCTGCGTTTGCGTCACCGCTTTGTTTCTTCTGACAGAATCTCTCTGTCCTTCTAGAAATCCATTGCTTGCATGAGACTCAGCAGTACCTCCGAAAAATAGTTCATGAGATTGGTCTGGAGCTGAAATCGTCTGCCGTGTGCACACAAGTGCGAAGAATACGCGATGGTGTTTTCACACTGGATGATGCTCTCCTGAGAACCCAGTGGAACCTGCAGAGTATACAGAATGCAATTTGGGACTGTCAGCTTAAAGTGAAAACAGAGTTAGAGAAAACACTAGGCCATCAGGATAAAAGTCGTCTTCATGAGATGGATGCTGCGATGGCCCACGCTGCAGACAGCTGAGCGTGTGCTACGGAGGGAACGTCCACAGGCAATCTCTGTAGCACAATAACGCAGCTACATGCTGACAGCATGATGGACAGCAGAAGGAAAGAGGTTAATTGCAGTTCACTTCCACCCTTTCCTTGAGATGACTTTAATCAGAGAGGCATTTTTTTCAGTGACAGGCTGTATAATTTTTTTTAAAGCATCGCAAACAGTTCATTAACAGGAGTTAGCTGTGCCAAAATTCCTGTTGACTTTGGGAACATTAGGTTGCTAAGGGATATAAAAGCCCATCCCCAAATTGTTTAGCAGCAGGAAATACAGTGTCTTACAGAGATGTATTCCCTTGATTGCACAGACTTGTTTGTTCCTTGCAACTGGCAGCATAACTTATCTACTATATGGATTTTATTTTCCCTCTGTTGTCCTAGAGTCTTTTCTTTCCATTAGCCCTGCTTTCAGACACGCAAGAGCTCAAAATCAGACTAAAAGAGGGATGCGCAGGAGAAAACACAGCTTGCACAAAGCAATGCAAGGAAATGGTTATATCCAGAGTAGGTGTGTGTGATGAGGACAGAGGCTTGTAACAGGGACTAATGCATAAGATGATACACAAGAAATAAAACTGAAAGTGACCTAAAGGGGAAGAGGCTGTTTCTTGGCTCGGTACTCATCTGTGAGTATGCTCACTTGCTAAGAAAAGAGCATGCTGCTTCCCCCCTCCCTGAGGAACTAAGGGTGTTGAGGGGTCTCTGGTATCCTGCTCTGCAGCAGCTCCATGCAGACAGCATGTACTGCCCTTCAGTGAAACTCTGTAAGCTCTGCAATACCGCTTGTTATCTGTTAGCTCGTTATAGCTGGGTCTGACTTAGCAGAAATACACTTTATAAATTTAAATTAAAAATCTGAAGTTACACTTGCCGTTCTTACACTCAGTATTTTTCCAGCTATGCACATTGTTAGAGAGTTTGGAGGTTTACTTACACAAATCAGTAGAAGAGATTTGTTCTATTCCTCCTCTGGATTTGGACAAAGGCCAGCACCTTGTATCCTCCAGACAGCTGTTAAGGTACAAGAAGTAACTCTGGGAGGAGCAGCAAGAGGGGCTGTGATGAAGTACCTAAGTGGCAGAGTTCGGCCCTGTCCTGAAGCACCCCAGGAGTCATTAACTTAAACCCTGGAATCTTTCAGTTGTTCTGGGTTTCCCTGCGCTGCACGGAGCAGCCGGAACAGCAGCGGAGCGGAGCTGCCACCACGTGGCACGTTACCGTGCCAGCTGCGGAGCCGCGGGGACTCCCCAAGGTCAGTTTGCTCCTACCTGGGCCGGTTGGTTCTGCGTGCGTTCATCCTCCGTGGACAAGGGGCTGGGGTCAGGGCACCTTCCTCGGACAACTGTCTTGTGCCAACTGAAGTGCAAACCCCTCGCCGCGGAAGCATGAGCTCTGGAGCCAGGCAGAACGCTTGCATGGCTGCAGCTGCAAGTTTTAATACCAGTGCTCCTACAAGGAGGAGAAGAAAACAGGGACTTCTCAGCCCTTAAATAACCTTCAGTGACTTTGGTAACGGAGTATACTTCATCCCGCATGGCTTACGCCTAACGCAAACTGAAGGAATTTCTGTGCATCCCATTGCAAAAAACATTTCCAGCTGCTTGTGCCATTGCCAGACTAACATTTTGGTTGGGACACTCCAGGCTAAACCAGCTCTTTCACACAGAAAATACCAACCAAAACAGCAACGCGGGTTTTGAGAACAAAGTTAGCATTTCCCAGTTCTAGTCGTCTTGTGACTTTTTCCCCTCCCCTTAAAACTACTCCAAAACACAGGAGATTTCCACACTTGGCAAGAGGGGTTTATGGTGGGGAGGCTGTACCTGTAACCATACCCATGAGAGTCCATTCTTAGATGGCCGCAGTAAATACCCTCCAGAGAAGCACAGCTGCACGTTAGCAGAGACTTGCTTGAATGAATCACAGAATACACAGGCTTTGCCCGTCCCCCGTCTTCAGACCCCTCCCCGCAGCTTTTGTGGCAAAACAAGATACTTATTAGTGATGCTTCTGTGCCAGGTCCAGAACCAAGAGCGCAGAAACGATTATCTGTTCTCAGCAGCAGCCTTGTGACCGTTTTCTGGTTTCCAAGCGCTACGAGGACAGAGTCATTTGATTCAAATTTGGAAATAATGAGCAGACTGCAGCATGGGCCTGACTGGAGACCAGGGGGGAAACTTACTGGCAAGAAGGTCTTAAAAGTAGAAATGGCCAGAAGGACATCAAGCTTGAGTGAAAAAGGGACAATGGATCTGCAGTCAGCAGAGCACTTTATCACTTAGAACTGCACAAAGCAGCCAAATTTAGTCTGTACAGTCACCCTCAATCGTAACACCTGACATTGAAACATTCATGCTCTCAACATAATTTTGCGTTCAGGACACTCACAGTGACTCTGCGTTTAGAAGAGAGTAAAGGTAATTCGGCACCTACCCATTACTTGGTAGTGCTGCCACACTGCCTCCATAAAAGCCTTCAGAAAACATTTGAATAATAGAAGTTATAGTTACCTCAGAATATAGTTTAAGAATTTGTTCCCAGGTTCATGCAATGTTTTATAGGCTTTTAAAGTGAATTACTGAGAAATGTGATAGCTGCTTTATTCAGACTGGACAGTTCAACACAACTTCACATTTTTCCATTTACTACAGAAATGATACAAAACCTCTAGATACCAGAGCAGTTAAGTACAAAAACGCAGAACATCCAGACTTACCCAGATTTGATCATAAAACAAAACAAAACCCCCCAAACCACCACAACTTCAGCCTCCTTCCCTCCTTATTCCTGAGGGTTTTTTTTTCTTTCAAAGCAGCTATTACACTGCACACTTGTACGCCCGCACTTCCTCTCTCCATTCAGTAGTAGCTGCTTCCACCTGCAGATTAGCGTATCCAAATAGCCCCTGGATGTCGTAGAGAAGCAAAGGCTTGATGGAAAGAGTCTTAATGTCAACCTGAAATAAAACCTTTCCAATAAAAAAAATAAAAAAACCTGTTGATCAGGTAGTAGACAAAATTATCCACAGTCCTACGTCCCTTTCCCACAAGCAGGAAACAGCTGATAGGTTCAACAACTTTCATGTTCCAAAGCTTCTTAGAAATAAGGCTGTTAACCCACACTCTGTTGCAATTCTACATACATACTTCCGAGGCCACCTTGTATCACTTCTAAACCGATATGACACCAAAACATAACGGCCTGGTAACAATCATTTTTGCAGGACATGGCAGTCTTCAGGTTCAATACTAGTCGCTTAGCTCCAGGTCGTATTCAGGGTAGAGCTGCTTTGTAGTAACCCCTCGGATAACAGCTAGAAAAGAAAGAAATACCATGGCTTTCATTAAACAAAGATCAGATCAGTCAGAAAAGTTGCGTTTTCCTCCCAGTGGCCCCTAACTATTCCATAGAACCTCCCATAGCCAAGAAACCAATCTAAGGTTTTGCAGCTATGCTCCCCACTTGTCTCAACACTTTTCTTTTTTTAAGCATATGAAGAACAAAACTGACAAAAATTAGTAAGACTTCTCAAATTTTGGTAATCCATAACACAGACTAAAATACCAGTACATGGCAATTATTTCACACGTTCAGTTCTACAAACATTCCAAGAAAATAACGACAGAAGTGTTTGTGCTTGCACAAGTGATCGGTAATACAAGCCTAGAATGGAACAACCTTTAAAACAAGCTCTGCCTTCACGGCGTAGTAGCTTCTCTCTCTGTGTCTATATGAAAACATTGACTAAGAAGTTCTTCAACAGCTTTCCCCTTCCTTACCCAGCTTGCCCAGCAGCATCTGTCCAGCATCTTTAATATCATTATACTCATGGAGCAGAGAGATGTGCTTCTCCAATTCCTCCAGGCTGTAGCCTCTGTAACGATAAAACCAGAAAGGTCAAAAATGACACAGAGGGATTGCTGCTGCTGCTGCATAGCGAGTGCTGCCACCACCGACCAAGCACAGCGAGGATATTTGAGATACCCAAGCCTGGCACATCAAAAGCGGAATCTGAAGGCAGCAAGTACAGTTGCTGCAAGTCATAAAGATGAAAGCTGCAAATGAGCAGATCCTCATTTTGAGTTTTTTTGCCACGTCAAGACTTATCAAAAAAACAATCCACCCGAATTCTCAGAATCAAGTAGAAACAGGAATAGGCTGTGGTGAATTCAATTTCTATGTATCTCTAATCTACAGAAAAAAAAAAATTAAGAAGGTCTGTTTATCCTTAAGGATAAAACAAAAAAGCTTTTGGAACAGCCTTTGTTGTTCTACCATTTCCATTCTATGCACTACACGTTATCTTAGAAAATATCACTCCTTCGCAACGAATAACCCACAGAGGTTCCCTCTCTTTAAAAATCAAGCAGCAATTTTATCTCAAAACAGTTGCCAATAAGCAGCTGCCACAGTGTGTCATAAGAAACCACAATAACACAGTTGCACTACCCTGGATGTGCCACCCGTCATGCCAAAGTGTTCTACAGGTGTGCTGGTTTTGGCTGGGGTAGAGTTAATTTTCTTCCCAGTAGCTGGTACGGGGCTGCGTTTTGGATTTGTGCTGGAAACAGTGTGGATAACCCAGGGATGTTTTCGTTACTGCTGAGCAGTGCTGACACAGAGTCAAGGCCTTTTCTGCCTCTCACCCCACCCCACCAGCGAGCAGGCTGGGGGGGCACAAGGAGTTGGGAGGGGACACAGCCGGGACAGCCGACCCCAACCGACCCAAGGGACATCCCACACCGTATGGCGTCATGCCCAGCGTATAAAGCTGGGGGAAGGAGGAGGAAGGGGGGGACATTCGGAGTGATGGCGTTTGTCTTCCCAAGTCACCGTTACCCGTGATGGAGCCCTGCTGTCCTGGAGATGGCTGAACACCTGCCTGCCGACGGGAAGGAGTGAATGAATTCCTTGTTTTGCTTTGCTTGTGCACGTGGCTTTTGCTTTACCTGTTAAACTGTCTTTATCTCAACCCACGAGTTTTCTCACTTTTACCATTCCGATTCTCTCCCCCATCCCACTGGGGGGAGCGAGCGAGTGGCTGGGTGGGGTTTACTTGCCGGCTGGGGTTAAACCACAACATCAGGCCACTTGCTCGCCTGGAAAACACCTCTGCTTCTTGAACACAAAGGTTTAACCCACTCGCCTCAAACGCAAAACAAGTGAACACTCAATCAA